CCTATTTCTAATTAATAAAATCTTTAATATCATTAAAATACATTGATGTTATCATTATTTCATTATATCCTAATTTCATTATTGATTTATTATTTATTAGTTGTTTTATTAGTTCTTTTATTTTTATATTTTAATTTCTTCTTTTTTATTCTTTATCATCATTCTATTTTTATTAATTGATGTTTATTATGAAAAACATTAAATAATAAGAAATAAAATAAAATGATAATTATTTTTATTTTTAATAAATTATAATTATTAAATATTTCATTTTATTTTATATTTTATTCATTATTTCATTTTATATTTTATTTTTATTTAATAATATAATAATAAAATATGATAAAAGATAATAAATATAATAATAAATGAATAATCAATATATTTATAATAAATGATAATATAATTAATGATATAATTAATGATAAATAATTATGAAATCATTTATTCTATTTTCTTTGATTTTTATTCATTCTTAATTTATTCTTTTCTTTCTTTATTTTTATTATTATTTTATATTTAAAATGAACATTTAAATATGAAATAAAATAAAAAAAATAATACAATGAATAAAACATAAATAAAAGAATGTATTAATTGATAAATTAAATTAAATAATAAAGTATTTATATAATATTTCAATATTTAATAAAATATGATAAAATAAATGATAAATGATAAATATAATATTCAAAACATAAATTAACAATGAATAAAATAATATATCAAATAATGAAGAATGATAAACAAATGAAATAATGAAATATATATTTGGGAATCAAAATAAGAGAAGAAATAATGAACATAAATAAAAATCATAAAAAGAAAAATGAATAAAATAATTTATATCATTAAAATGTTGTTGATTATTTTGCATCAATAGATTAGACACTTTTTATTGTATATTTCTAATTTCTGTAATAAAAATACTTTATTTAATCTTTCTTTTTATTATTTATTATCTCTTTTTGAATTGTTCCTTTTTATCTTCTTTCTTTTTATATTCTCAACTTTCTTCTTTTATTCTTTTCATCATCTTCTTCTTCCTAATTTCACTTTTTTCTTTTATATCATGCTTTCTCTTCATTTCTTCTCTTATTTCATTTTTTCATTGAATAAAATGAAGAAAGATATAATAAAAATAAAATCGAAATGAAAACATGTTCATTCAGTTCATACTAATTAATAAGAATCATGAAAAAGAAAAGAAGATTAAATGAAAAGTTATTTAACTCATATGTTATCTAAACACAACTTTAAATAAACAATTCATTTTTGAATTATTTATGTTGGTGTTTGATGTTATTATTCAAACAAACTTTCATTTATCTTTGAAATATGAACTTGTAGAATATCAAATAGAAGATATTCAAAAGGAATTGAATTAAAAAGTGTTAGCAACTATCCAAAGTATAGCCAACTCGAGTAAATTTACATGCTTTAAGATCTTCCAAACTAATATAGAAATTAGCAATACCACAATCTCCCCACATTGTATAATCAGAACCATTTGATGCTCCAGGAATACTTCCAATTTGAAGAAGAGTTTCAGTAAGGTCTTTGTCCTGACCAGTTATGTCTCGAGGATCTTCTTGTGCAAATGCAGAATATCCACCAATATGAATGTCTTCTTCAACAAGAAAGAAATCAAAAAGATAATCACTCAAATTATCTTCTTCTTCTGCTTCATCTATTTCATATTTCATTGCATATTTATCAACAATTTGATTAAATTGATAACAACTAGGTGAAATTCCCATTTCTCCATGTTCTGGAATTAATAAACAAGGTGTTTTTATTGGATTAATTTCCTCGTCACATTCGATGGTTGGTGCTTCTTGTAATTTGGATTCATCTTTTTCAATTGTTTCAAAATAAACAACTCTAAACTTTTCTTGTTTTGTTATGTCTTCACAATTAATTCCATACTCTTCTGAATCATCTATTAAAATATAAAATTGTAAAATTCCTTTTGTTGGATAATTTTCTAATGCTTCAAATTCTTCAAAATTGATTTGCATAATAAAAGACAATGGACTCCCAGTAGTTAAGTCTTTTGGATATTCAAATCCTTTTGGTAAATAAGGTGTTCCACCTAATTTGCAATTGTATCTACTCGCTGGTTTATCACTACATTGAAATCTAACTATTTTCTTTATTGTTGATGACATTATTTCTTTTGCAATTTTCTCAATTTC